GAGCATATCAGTTATTACCCTTCTTTAAAAAGTTTGACTTCATTATTTTGAAAAAACAAAGTCCCAGGAATTAGCTCTTGTTTTGAAGAGATACAGTTTAAAAAAATTAGAGATTAATTTAAAATGGCTACAAACATAATGCACCAATCGTTAGACAATGTAAATTGTATTGATTAAATGAAGTAATAGCTAGAGTAATTATTTTGATGTGTGAGCCGAATTTACTCCTGTCAGAATTGGACATTAAAGGTTATTTAGCTCAAATAATATTTTTTGTTTGATATGTACTTTAATTCAACATTTTCATTATCACCTGTAAGTTTACCCTCGCAAGGTCTTAATACATTTCTTTAATTAACTGATTACGTCTTATAGAAAAAAAAGAGGGGAAAATGCTCGCAATATATTTACCAAAATTTTATAAGATCCTCTGCTCGAGCATTAGAAATGTCACGTGAAACTCTCGTTAACCTATCGTCAAAAGCAAGAACTAATTCTTTTTTTTTTTCGTGTAATAGAATTGATAAAATACCTACTAACTCGTCAAAATGGGAGCCATCTGTGTTCTATCCATGCGCAATTTCGTTTTTATTATACATTCATATACGTCTATGAATTACTCTGTCTCCTGAGTATAATGAAAATCTCGCATGAGTATTAAAAATAGAGAAACAAATGAAACTCAACTATGCACGTTGCGCATGTGCATCCGAGCGTTTGAAAATCTTGAATATACATAACATCCTTCATTGGTAAGAGCATCTCAGTAAAAAAAAAGATCCCTTGCAGTTTATTCTTCTCGTTTGGGAGTTCATTTCTGTTGCTTATTTGATGTCATGGACGACGAGTGTCAGTTTACAAGTTTCAAAAGAAAACTTCAGCTTGGTTCTGGATTTTAAAAAAAAAATCGATAGTTGATGAGGTTTTTACACGTGAAAAAAAACCTTTCGCGAAAGATAAATTAACAATTGATATAAAAGCTCATTTTTTCTCATGGATATTTTAAAGCGTTTTAAAGGGTAAAGCATCCTTTCTTGAAACGTGGTTTAGAGTCAGTCGTGGCGTCGTTGCTATCGCCTAGGGCTGCGTATTCGAAGGTCCGACATCCACGTCACGATTTCTTCAAACAGCCTCCGCACTTACTTGTAACCGTGGGTGAGAATTATACGAATCACAGTAAATCCCATTATTCGGTTCAAAGCCTCACAAAACACTCGTGACGATGGATGTTGCTAACTGGCTTTCTGAGCCTTAGTGGTATCTGACCTAGCCGTTTAGCCCACGTGTTCTACAAAGTGTCATTTAGGTAAAAGATACCAGTACTAACTTGTTTTTATTGGTATACGTTACTGCAATACCACTAGTTAATTGTTAACTTATTTAACAATAACAAATTTTGTTGCTTTTGTGAAATTTGTCGTCAGTTATACATTATCATTATTTATATGTACGATCCACCTACCGGGATCTTCTGGATCCAGAGTGTAGTTTGTGTAACATGGGTCGTCAGTTATACATTATCATTAATTATATGTACAATCCACCTACCGGGATCCAGAGTGGAGTTTGTGTAACATGGGTCGTCAGTTATACATTATCATTATTAATATGTACGATCCACCCACTGGGATTCCAGAGTGGAGTTTGTGTAACATGGGTCGTCAGTTATACATTA